TGATTCGCGTCACAGATCGTCAAAAGCGTGCAAAGGCGACCTTTACAAAACCTTTAACAACACATTTGACGCGCGGTAAAGGCGATTTTTCGTGCCGTGGTAGCGAAAAACGCATTTGTGGGTTGAGCTTTGAATTTTGGAGTCCGCATCTTATTGAAAGGCGCAGTAAGTTATCCGATTCGCACAAGCCAATTTGAGAAATACACGATGTTCACGACCACACGAGAAGTGGTCATCATGCTGTGACGTAATGAATGAGATGTAGTCAGAAAGTGGTCTGGGAACGAAATATAAGGAACACAAATAATTATGTGTGCATGGTAGCAGTGCTTAGCTATCAAGTTCTCATCATTGTGGAAGTACAGAACACCTGGACTTTCATTCAAAACTCGCGTTATGTAGAAAGCTAACTACTTTCCACTGAGTTTATTAGCTGATGATCAAACTCACAGTTTTATGATAAGACTCAAATGGCTGATAAGTATCATTCACATCTCGTCGGATTCTACAATCCCGGCCAAAAGTAGTTGGGACACTTGAGCTGTATCATGTATCTCCTTTCCTCCCTGATCAGTGTTGGAAAATATCGCGTTTTTTCCAAGAAAAAGGGAAAAAATCACCTGATTATCAACATTGAAAGTGGGGGGAAGGGAGAACTTACTTCGTGTCCCAACTCTTTTGTCCGGGATTGTAGTTCCTCTAAAGTATCAGTAAGACACTTTTCTCTCATATTGTTGAATGAGTTATTCTATATGAGCAGTCAACAAGACCTGACAACTCCGCGCTAATCCTTTTAATCTTATCTTGACAAAAACATTGTTAGTGAGACCATTAGCTTCTCAAGATCCTCAATGGTCTCCTTGTTCATCTTAACAAAGTGGAGTTCTATGTGCATTATGTTAAGGATTGTAAATGCAGATACGTTGAGCCATTTTCTTCATAACCGTCTTGGCTGCGAGACTTTGAAGAATAAAGCAAAATAAATTACTCATACAACCCTCGACTTCGATCTGATATTTTCCCTTTTTTTTTTTTTTTTCCTGAGCATGTCTTGGAGCAAACTTTGATTTTAACACATAAAAGGATATTAAAATATCAGAGATTCTTGTTATGTCTGTGCCGAAAAGTGTAGAGCAGCATCGAAACATCTGGCCATTTACAGGAAAAAATCCAAAGAATTGACGGAAAATAAGACCGGTTCAGCTGATCATATCTCGGTGTGGCCAACACCGCTCCGTATTGCAATAATGCCTGCACGCACCCATGCCAGTTATGCCATTGCGAGGTACGAAAAATTCGCTGAAAAGAGGTTGGCTATGTACTTTCAAATTGTACATGCTTCTTCGAGCCTGTCATAAAATATAACCAAAACTAGCCAACATTTACCAGTTACAATGCGTTCTATGAGCTATAAAAAGAAGTTGGTGTTTATTTATGTCTACAATTCAAACACGGCGCTGAAAGAGTGGTTATTTGTGTAGCATGTGCGCATGCGCAGCATGATCTGCATAGTTTCCTTTATAAGGCTGTGAGATCTGAGTAAAGACTAAATATGGCTCCACAAGATTGACTCTGGTAAGTATTTCACAATGAAGTGATCACAGCTTACGGTCTGATACCCTGTGACTTTAAATGTTTCGTCCAGCCTTCAATTTTTACCGACTTCTCTTCTAAATATTCTAATGAATTTTCCTGACTCATGATTAAAATTCCCTGAATTTTCCCTGACCGTGAATATAGTTTATTCCTTGACCATTTCCTAACCTGGGTAGCCCTGATTTTCGCTTCAAATGAACTTGTAAAAACGTTCAGGCAACGATACCCGCCTGATTCCTCCAAACTCACCGCCCCCCTCCTCGCCCTACTCCATCCCCTCCCTCATTTTCGGTAACATTAATTTCAAATCTCCCTTTTTTCTTGTCAAGTGCTATGAAAATAACATACCAAGCAAGAGGTCGAGTTTCCTTTGTTTAATCACTGAAATTGTATTTACTAACATAATACAAAAATATAACATTAGAGGAACACGTTAAAGTCTTTGACGAGCTAACGCACTGCAACTTAGGAAAGTGATCAAGACCTCACAGCTTATGAGCCAAAGTTCCACCAGTTCCATAACAAAGGTGAGGAATAGAAGCGATCGAACCATGTTAGGTTTTCTACGACATTCTGTCCTCTACATCGAGAAGATTTAGGTATACCTTTTTCCTGTTTTCGAGAATTAATTGTAGTCTAAACTGTCATGAGGTTTTTCTCCCTACCTCTTTTTTTAGTTTTTTTTTTTTTTCAACTTCCCATAAAACTTGCTCATGCTGCCAAAGTTTTGATCACTTTCCTCAAAGTCAAGACTGTCAACTTAAACTTTACAGTGACTTGTTCTATAACGATTAGCAAGATACTTCCAAGAATCCTTTGCAGCCCTTACTATAGCCGTCATTTACAATCGACTCCAAATGACGTCTGCATGTAAAGGAGACTGGTGCATAGAAGCAGGGAAATATTTTCCTTTTGGAAATTTCTTTATACTAAGTAAGTAACAGACTTTTTTTTTACAAGGCAATTACGCACAAACAGTACTAAATAATGCCAGCATTTTCTCTTTCTTTTCTAACAAGCCATTCAACGTGTAAATTCAAAACTCTTCATGCATTCTTGGATCGAATTCGAAAAAAAAATCCTACGAAATTTAAAAACGTCTCTTTCTACAGAGTTAAACTGCCAACATTTTTCGACAGCCGGCAACATTGTTAGTATCAATGGTCATAATTTGTGTATCACTTACCTAGGAATACACTAAAAGAACAGACAAGAAACAGACCACATGTACACACAACTGACAGCCAACTTGGCAACAGATATTACAAACAACTTGCAACCAATAAAACTATTTTAAGTACCAAAATAGTTTTTCAAAAATAAAGAAGTGACCCCGTGCTTTTCGTGGAAAAACATTCTCTGCAAGTAAATACTTATAACAAATGAAGCCATCTTCTTTTTTACACAGCCAACTTTGTTTCAATTCTCACCAGTGAAACAAATGTTATTTTCAACCTTTCGCATAAAGTAAAGGTAGTCTACAAATATTTCAAATAAAATCCTTCAATCTAAAGGAATGACACTTCTCATACCATTTTTATGTACTAACCAATGCATTTTTCTTTCTTTTTTACTGAAAAGTTACTTAAAAAATATCACCGGAGGAAGTTTTGTCTATTACTTTTGATTGGATGTTTCATAACCAAGATTTGACCAGTTTTGACTCAAAATTTCATACATGACACTATAGTGACTGTTCATCATAATTCCAAATAAACCAATCAGAAACTTGAACCTAAGAAGAGCCCCCGCCAGCAACATGAAGATTTTTGACTCAAATATCAGATGTATCTGTCATGGTAGATGTGATGAGAATGCCACGGAAAAAAAACCTGCTTTTGCAAAGTTTAAAAAAATTAATGTAGCTCTAATGCTATTCAAGACTGCGATCAACAAATTTTTACAAATTAAAGAGGTAAGTCTATAAAATGTATTTTACCACATGTTGTCACCTGAAGAATGAGGTGATCTGGAAATAAAATTGCTCAACAACCTTTCGCGTCAATATTTACAAGTGCAGTGGAAAAACTTGAAAAAATACGGCAGTGGGTAGGGGAAAAAATTGACACCACTGACATCCATCTCTCTTTCCAAAAATAATAAATAAAAATACATATATCTTATTAACCAAATGCAAGAGAGAAAATCTTGGCCATAGGCATCGCAGTATACATGTAAATGGAGTAAGGCAAGTCCCACACCAAAAACACAAAAGGCCGATATTCTTCCAGTATGACCACAGAAAGCTTGATTAATAAGAGACTTATTACACAACTTTTTAGATAAGAAACAGATATAAAAACGTTACCAACACTAAGAAAATGTTGGACCTGCAACAGAGAATCTGATCACCTGCTTTCAGTTATTGGCCCTCCCAGCTGTCTTAGGGGTCGTGTAATCAAAAACGAAACACCACAAGTATTAGCCTGAGTTGCACACAGCTCTTGATATGCACTCATAGGTACATGTACATGTAGTCCTATTCCCTACGAGACAGTTGTTTGAAATTCAAGCTGAGAAATTCCATATTGATGTAGAATCACAGAGATCAATAAAGCTGACTGACTAGAAACTGATCAGACAAGACAAATTTAAATAAATTACGAGCAAGTAAACTATGAAAGACTTGGTTATGAACGGCTTGAAGTTAACGACAGAAGCAGGTTTGTGAAGCTGATGTTCTGAGCATTAGGACTTGGTCAGACCAATTTGGAACCTTAGATTCACAAACTCACTATGGAAGTTAATTTGCCCTTATCAACTTCAAGATGATGAAATAGCTAAATCTTTCACTCGCCTATTGATGCAGCCCAACAGCTTCTTTAGATCCTGCTAACTTTGTTCAATACTAAGAATGAACCAAAAGAACTTCCCCTCTGGAAGAAAAATTGCCCCATCCAATGCTTATGAACCTTTTTCCAAGTTTATTCACTGCATTAACATGGCATGCTCACACTATCTACCAAGAAAACTAAAACTATTCACTCGCATGGTGCATCAAAATTTCAAGTCTCAAAGACTACTGAAACCAAGGCCACATCTATCCTCTCCTTATAACTCTTCTCTTCCACCTTCTGTCATTACATAAAGTTCACTGAGCCAAACTAAAGCTTATTATATACTTCATAAAAACAGACTATAACTTTTAAAGCTATACAAACCACAGAACACTATCCATCAAACAAACTTGTGAAGCTTTCTGCAGTAAGCAAGTGCCACATAGGGCCATCAAACAGTGGCAATATCCTTTATTCCAAGCAGAGTCCAATCCTTCCATGTGGCAAATGTGTCCTGGCTGAATGGCTGCTGTCCATTTGACTAAATCAGTTAACAAAAGTAATTATACCGCAGCCAAATAAATGAAGAGTACTGTGCACTGAAGTCTACTTGGACGGTTTGATTGACGATAATTGACTTATAACCCGTAATAAAGAGCTGTTTTCATCCTTCAGTTTCTGGTTATCCCCACGTAGTTGTTCCACCTCCTAATGATGAAAATATAGAAAATAAAAATAAATTAATTTAATTTAATTATCACTAAACAAATATTACTGACCTCCAAACTTTTCCAATACTGTGGTGTGACAAAACAGAATCCCTTGTCACATATTCACTACTAGTGGCATGTCTGCAACATGTGTCTGTGCAGTGAATTAAATTTCAGCAATACAGTATATCAAAAGATGTCCATTCTTGCACTGACCTTAGCAGTGCCAAGAATAAGACATTTATCTCCTTCTAGCCTCTCACACATTTCTTTTATTTCTCAAAATTAATTTGGTGTCACTGTTCAGTTGGTGGGAGGTGCAGTGGCCTAACTGATAGTGTGCTGGACTCTAGACTCGGTGCTTTAAGGTCATTCACTTAGTTAACTAACGTTCATTCCCAGATTTGTTCATCATAATGTGAAGGTTTGTCATGTTAGGTTGCACTGTACATAGTTCCAACATCTCTGAATCAACTATATCATTTCCTGCTCTTTAAATGTCAGCTTGACAACGTAATGATATTTCAGTTATGGAGGAGGCCATGTTTACTGTTGAGAATAACTTGGTTAATAATAGCCCATCTGTAGATCTATGTGTAAAACCACGCAATTGCAGTCCCATTCAACATACCAAAACAAAAATATCAATACATATACCTCACCTTGTTTACTTTATCAAGTGCACTTTTATAATCTTCTATCTGATTTTCATAATCATCTATCTTTTCAAGCAGCTGCTGCACTTGAATGGTCTCACTATCTTTTTGCTGCAAGGTTAAGACATAACAGATTGATAAATAAATGTAGGCCTCTTCCATATTTATAGTGAAGATCTAACTCAGGTCTTAAACCTAGAACAATAAATCAACAGAAATCGCATTGGGGTCGAGAGATGATTAATTTTTGTTTCATTCCAAAAACTTAGAGCCATGAATGAACTATAACATATTGAAAAGGCCGTTTGGGGTGAGATTATCCAATATAGCCTAAAATTAGGGTTAAAGCCGCAGTTTTGAAACCACAAATCTGTGAAAAAAAAAATGCAAGGCTTTGCCTGTAAAATATTCATTGTACAGGTGAACTGTGTTTCAAGTGAAACAAGCCATTGATGATAAAAATGATGCATTTTAAGCCATTACTTTTGGATCAAAAATAAAGATAAAATTGCAGACTACTGATCTAAACTCTTAGCAGGGAGGAAGAAGGGTCCACTATTACCAATTAATAACCAAAGGTTACAGGATGTTCAACAGCTATGTGAACTATTTACACATAACACTCAACGATGACAGTGGCCCAATCTGATGTGGACACGTCCACTGTCTGCCACCCTACTGATTACCTGAGCTGTTTCCATGCCAACCAGGCAACAAGAACAGTTGTTTATAACAACCAATTCTCGAATGTCACCTTTGACACCACAGTAACTAAATTTATTACTAACCAGACAGAAGAGTGTACTTACAACTTTTTGTTCTATTCTTTTGTTTGAGCTAGGAAACAAATAGTATCAGGTTGTTAGTTACTAATCAAGAGGCATATGGTTCAACCTTTCAGTACTGTGGCCAGATGAAATTCCTGACTTGATTTCCAGCAGTCTAGAGTTAATTTTCTAACTTTGAGCTGGTCTGATACATGTACCAGTGCTGTGCAGCTTGAGATTGTATCACATTTGTAGCCAATTGAAGGAGAATTGAGATTCACCAGTAAAACAATCTATATTAATTTTACTGTATCATGATTTGCAGGCCTATAACATGTATGTATGACCAATTTCAAGCACAAGTTCAAGTAGCGGTACCTTAAAGGCACAACAAAATGCCCATTTTCATCATTTTTTGTTCACCCTGTATAAATTTCTCATGTTTAAAAATGCACACTTCACAGAGAAAATGTCTTGAAAAATTGCTGTCAAAACACTCAGGCTGCTCAAACATTGAAAAATACTTGAGTTATGCAAGCTACTGAATAATGTAACTCGAGTGCAAGATGTTACATGTATCTGGGTCAGGGGAAATGTACTGGGCTAGTCGAAGCATATCATAAACAGTGGAGAAATGCAACTTAAAAACAAACAAATTACACTAAACTTACCCTTTGCTTTTGGGGGAATCCTAGAACAAAGAAAAGATGCACAAATATTTTAGTGGAATAGACTAATAAAGAATACATTACCTGCAAAGTCAATCCCTAAAACATTTGGAAACCGAACCCAGTTTCACGCAATCCTTGGACTGAATTTGATTTACAGTGTACAAATAGTTTGGTAATCAAAGGTAAACAAATGCAGAAATTCAATACAAACATGGGTTAACTCAATAATGTTTGTCTCACTCCATTGTGAAACACAAATTCAAGCCAAGAATCAAATGGATTGATTGAAATTTGGTTCTACTATTTATGGCTATGCTGAGTAATAGTGAACATTTCTTTGACATGAAAAACATTAAAAGCAAGCTTGGAAGATAATGACATTTAACAACAGTTAGCAATACTAATTTTCAACAATGAGTACTGTTACACTGTGGCCCAAAACTGTTACATTCAAAACCTTTGATCTTGATGAATGTACTTCAGCACCATTTGTCTATAATAATGTACTTGTATCACAGAGACAATAATTTCAGCAACAGGCACACTGCTATGACAGACCACAATTATCTCCTTTTCACCTTGCATGCATGACCTGGGATCACCCAAATTCAAAGAAACATCTAGACTAGGGTCAGATTCCAAAAGGAGAGAAGAGCCACTTGAGTTGCTTTTCAGTGGTAAAATAAAACTCAAAGATTTTTGATACGAAGTGCACATCTTTCTGTTCTACATTCTGGAGAATGACATTTCTTATGCTAGAATATTATTTTACACCATAAAATACGGTTTACTTTACACTAAGAAGGTACATTTTTAAAATATGTACTCTAATGTGACTGTTCTTGAAGCTGTTTACAACTTGAACTATGGACAAACACTTTTAACATGATGATTATGGTTTCCCAAATTAGGAAATTTAACTGATCTTCTTTATGAAAAAAAAATGTGATCAATCTGTTATAGTTTCTGCAATGCTCGAGCTGAGTTGTAACTGGTAAGGTACTAAGATCTACTGAATGTTTAAGAAGCAGACAGACAATCAAAATGTACAACAGAAACTTTAGAAGCTTTAAAAAGTCCAAAACTGGTACAATATATAAATAAACACAGTAAACCAGAAAATTGTTCTTCCAATACATGGACCATGAAAAGACAGCCAAAGGTATTGTGCATGTTTGCACACAGATGATAAATAACAAATCCAAAACAACACTTTCCAATAGGTAACACCAATTCAAATAACAACAAACTGCTGGCAAAGAAAAGCTTGTCATTACCATTTTGTACAAAGGGACTGCTGTTGCCACAAAACCAATCCACTTCTTTGGCTTAAGACAAGCAAAAGCCAACCAAACCAGGGTAAAAATGATACAGACACGGCTGCAAACAGTTGTGAAATTTGCCCTCTTGACAAAGAACTGTGATGGCACTCATTAGCAGGAGATATACGATATTTCCCACAGGATATCCATTTAAATTCACATAAGGTACAGTTAAATAACCTTGTTATCTCTCAGTGTCGCTTGGTTACTATCAAGTTTCCAACATATGCATTTCACTCTCACAACAGCCATACTTTGTGTTTAAATAGAATCATTTTACAACAAACACAAGATTTGTGGTAATGATGTTAAAAATCTATTTTAATACCAATATTCTAGCATTTAACAATCTAAACTGTTGTAAAACAAGTCTTTGTTGTCTAAAATAACTTGTCTGATAACCAGCTTCATGACTAAGAGAGAGTTTCAAGGGTTTTAAATGCCCAAATTTAGAAACATTAAGAATTTCACTGCAGGCATCTCAAAATTTGATCCCGTATAGTTTACACAGATTTGACAAGGGGATTTAATGTAACATTTCTCGCTTTTCAACCTAACTTTTCTATATAAACAAGGCAAATACGTGGAAAACCAAAAAATACACATGGTTGTACACATCGCCATGTCTGAAAACCTGCATAAAAACAAAAACACATTTTCACCGTCTCTGTGTATAAGTATTTGACTGTACGGAACTACATACCTCCAGCGCTTCATCATCGTTCGCTTGCTCGTTCTGTTGCGTGTTTGCCTTTACTTGCTTCGAAACGGAATCATCGTCCTCGCTCTAAAACCACAAAAAATACGATTCAATAATAAGTTAGCTGCTTACTGAAGCAGTCGTACGCTAAATACGTGAACACGAACCAACAACAGTCTTGAGGTATAAATGAAAGAAGACATGGCTCAGATCAATATAACCTCACTGAGTTAACAATGAGGAAAGAACCACACAGAATTTTCTGGTTCTTATTTTGTCGTAGTGTGATCGAACTTGAGCTCGCGAAGACAAACCTACGAAACGTCCATCTCAAATCTAGAGTAACAGTACGAAACAAAATCCGTCACATATGTTTACACTCGAAAAACCGAATCTAATACGGCCAGTGAAGTTCATGATACAACAATTAAGCTTAAAAATACTCTGGAACAAGTTCAAACACAATAACCAGGTATTTTTATGGCAATTACATTTCATCTATGGCTGATATCAGCCGAAATAATTTTTGGAAGCACTACACAGTAATTCAACTGTTAAGAATAAATTAAATTAACATCATTTCGCTGTGGAAAGTACAAAAGATGGAAATTCACGGGTTTAAGGAGTTTTAAGTTAGCTCCAGTCGTCAATGAATTGAAATTTAAGTCTAAATAGTGTCAATTATTTACAAAACAAAATTATGGTTTATAGAAAGGCTTCAAAGCAACTGGACAAAAATTTACTTTTATCTTCGTCTTGTAACAATAGTAATTACGAGAAAGAACAAGAAATTTGCCACCATTTGTTATATTGTCGTGAACTTATTAATTTCCACTTTTCTTGAAAAAGCACTAGAGCTGGATTGATTTTAATTTATTGTTTAGATTTGCCGATGGTAAATTGCAAATACAATTATACACCTTTTATCGAATTCTCTGTACAAGAATGTAAATTTCCAGTGTCCATGGTAGTGTAAAAAGTAAAACTTCTTGGAAGAGTATATCGTAATTTCAGACAACGCGTAACCAAAAAGAATACAGCCCTCTTGATGGCAAATGATTCAGTGAAGAGCACAAGATCTGTAACTGTAAAACTTCGCCGTGTATTCTGCATAAAAAGACACATCCTACATTGTTCGTGACGCCGAAATCCTATACTGTCAGAACTACTCGACAAATAACTCAAACAGATCGGATAGGGTGTTCTTTTAAACGACAAAATACCGAAATAGGAACACGGTGATCAACAGGCGACAAGTAAAAAACATCATCGAGATTACTCACATCTCCTTCTGCACCGGGCATAATAACAACTCCTGTTGATCTTCGTTTCTCTCTCAAATGTCTCTTGGCCTGTCTCTTATGCGCGCTTTCGCTCTTTCTCTCTTTCTTTAGGGTCTTCTTCGGCGATGTTTCTTCACTAGGAGCTGCTGCCCCTTCTAAAGGCGCCTCGTCATTGGCATTCGCTTCAGGTTCTTCTTTAGGTTTCCGCCTATCTCTTCTGTCTCGTCTCCCAGAGTCTCGATCGGCACTGTTAGCCAGATCATTCGCAACTCCACTGTCGTCCAAACCTGGACTATTGTGTTCCTTAGAAGGCGATGGAGTCCCATCTATCCCATCAGCATAACGATTAACCCTTCGCTCTCGTCGATCATTTCTATCTCGTTTGTATTTAGTCCTATGAGTTGGAGCGGCATAACTTTCATCCGACCCGTCCGCCATTACTATGACAAGGGAAGCCTTGCAAGCGATAGCTCAACTTCCTGCGATGGTAAATTGGCTAAGAAACCGTTTCGAGATGCCAGTTATGTCATTAGTTACTGCAGAAATACCTCAACTCTGGGCTGCAGGCTTTACCGTTTCAGTGCAGCGAGGTTTTGTGGAAGAATTTAGGTTACAATGGGGTGTAAATTCTTGAAAACAACCCAAGCAGGCAGCCAACGTGCATGAATATTACCCAGAATTTTGTGATTTAGACAACAGACATGCGCAGAGCGATCGCAGCCAAATTCCACCCGTTGGCTGTGATTGGCTGATTTTGAAGACAATATAACCTCACCAACTGACACACCAAACATGTAATTGGACACTGAATTGAAATAAAATCCAACTAATAAACACATTTAAATCGGTATATACGTCAATCACACTGCATATTCTACGAGATGCTCGAAATATTTTGCCTTTCTGGCTGTGGCGTGACTTCAGCGAAGTAAAATAAGCCGATAAGGGCGAATCAAAAACCTTCAGTCGCTTCCAACGAGGTCTTCATGGTTTGTGATTTCATCGGAATTCAACCAAGCGTGTCGGAGTGAACCCGGATGGCAGTAATTGAATTTCATCCTCTTTGTTTACTTAGAATATAAAATTTTACTGACATTGTCTTGATAGCATTGTTGTTTGAATCTTACCATTTACACTTGAAGAAATCGACTTCCAAGCTCGGAAACGTTAATAAGCCGATATACAGGGCTCTCTTGCAGTAACCCTGTTGACAAAGCCACGTCTGTTCACGGGGCGTAAGGGTAAGTGATCAGATTAAAAGGCCTTGCATGTAACGAAGGGTGGGAAAAAGGCAAAGAATGCACAAAAGACAGACAACACACAAATAGACGTTCAATTGTAGACAATTACCGCAGTCTCAAGCGTAGAATGAAAAGTTTTTCCCATTATAAAATCGTTAGATTTGCTGACAGGTCATTTCTCAGATTGACGGGGTCGAAGAAGGTGATGCTACGTTCTCAGTGAAAAAGAAAATAGAAGCATGTGTCACAATATTAGAGAATTTGCAACTTTTTCACTGTAAGCAAGCCGAAATCATAAATTTCCCTCTGCCGATTGATTACAAGAGACTGCCCTAAGTCAAAATGATTTTTTATGCAGCGTCCTCGAGTTTTTGCAATTTTTTTCGAACGGTTGACATAATTTTTAAATTATAATACATGTACAGAAAAAAAAAAGCCCAAGTATATAAAGTTATGTTTGTCTTCTTTACGGCTTTGCTCAGTAAAAGACCAGGAGCCAAAGATTGATTTGAACGTGAACATGGATCATAACGATTGAAAATGAACTGCAAAAAATGATTGAAAATGAACTGCTAAAATCACTTTCACTGGTGCTGGATGGCATCTAATTGTTAGCTGAAAGCAGTAATTGAATAAATACTTACCCCTTTGTCTGGTCTTGGCCCAGTTTCACGCTCTTTCAAAGGAGTATGCTGAGAATCAAAATATATCAGCAGTTTGTGTCCGCGAAAAAGAGTTCTCGTTTTGTTGAATTGGGCCAAAAAAACTCACTTTCCAAATAAATATTTTCTCGAAGTTTTAGTTTCAGCTATATAAGGGATGAAGACTCTTTTCTTAATCCTGTCTTTCCTTCGATACCGTAATGACGAATTTTCAGCATCGATCGATGGCATATATAAGATAACATAACATAACATAACATTTGTTATTTGTATTGCGCCTTTTCTATAAAATATTCAAAAGCGCATCACAACAGTAATTAATAACTAAAATTTTACAAATCTTCCTATCAAAATCATAAAAAAATATTTACATTAAATGGGTAAAAGATAATTACAAATAAAGATATAGATATGCTAACATAACTGAAATGATTCCTTAGATAAGACCGGATTACATTCAAACAGATTATGGTATATTCCAAAGCAATGTTAATAATAGAGAGATGCCATATATCTCCCTATCATCCGTAAAAGTATGTTCGTGGTACTTCAAAGTATCAGAATATTAATGTACAAGAAACGTCACGTCACCGCCAAAAAGTCACTTAGAAAACATAGATCGCCTCAGTTTAGGTCAAGGACAACCTCATATAACATGGACTGGGAAATACGATTCATTCAGTGTGAACAATTTGCAAAAATACTGATCTGCGCGCTAAATGAAAGTAAAACAGTAGCCAAATGCAATCAACCAACCAGTATCACTATACTTGGCGTTCACACCTAAGCCGGAAACATGCAAAATGCGTTCGTTCTAGATATAGTAAATATATAGTCCATAGATCATAATCACGCCAGAAAAAGAAAAAAATATATGTTTGTAGATATTAATTTGGCACGAACACAGAGGCAACCGTTGAGTAATTGTGGCAATTGTTTCCCATTGCAAAGCCGTACTGCATGGTTACCTTTTGAGAGTAGTACTGGAGATACACCAACAAAGTGACTATTCAGTGGAACACAGAGCTACTTTACCACCTATACCGTACATATCCACTCCGGCCGAACCAGTAGTATCACACGAAACCAGTGAAGTAAACAATACTAGAAGTAGCCTCTTCCAGGCGTTTAGTTAGTTGGGGCTTAGCGCCATAAAATGGCGCACGAATGAATAGGGCACAAGCGTGGCGCGGAAAGGTGCACCAACTCCGCCCTTATTTTGCATGCGCTGCGCTCAGCGACTAACTAAGTGCCTGAAGGAGGCTATGCTACAGGCAAAGGTATTACAAAGCCGACTTGTTCTCAACTGTTCTGAACTGAGGTGGTAATTGTCTGTTCCTGGACGCACAAGTGGCGGGGATGCTGCTGCCCTTTCCTACCTCAGGAATTTTTATAAGGAATTTATCTCTTTCAGGACCTGTTTTGCGTTCTGGCCAAGTGGTTCATAGATGCAGATGGAGCTGATCAAGGTTTCTGTAGCACTGAGCGGCTAGGAGTACTTTTACCCCAAGTTCACTACGAAGTCTTCTTTGATGTGTTTGGAATGTAATTTGTTAATTAGGTTTAACTATTTCTCCAAACAATATAAGTATGAAAACGTTCAGACGTAGGCGTTATGTCTGTGTCAGCTATAATTCGCATTTAATTAGTTATGGCGTCTTCGCAGATCAGTGGCCGGTGGTTGTTGTAGCCGTTGTCCTTGGCAATCAGACGTGTTACTCTGACAGCGGGCAGTAGGTACCAACGACTTGACACGGAAACCTCCATTACAAAAGTGCGGGGTTAGCCTTAGTTAGCTTGGTGACCCACACAGTACAAGCAGTACACCGTTACTAGCTTAGGTTCAAAAGCATTATGTTCTTCCACCCGTATCAGACCAAAACCATTCCTTTCAGGAGACCAACTTTAATGAGCGGAGCAACAGAATTACGGAGGTGTCCATAGCGACCAACCATCTTTCAGTTTATAGCCCTACAAAGGAGGGGTTGGCGGGCGAGGTGGGGATCCTCCATGTTGTCGGTCCAAATTCTAAAATGTCCCATGAAACTGCTTTATCACTCCCGCTAGGCCCGGCGCTGTTGGAAATATATTGGAATGTCGCTCTGCTCTTGCCGATTTCATGTACTGCTTCTACTTTTTGGAAAACGGAAGAGTATTAGATTCATGTAATGGAATTGTATTCTGGAAGTTATAGGCCGATGACGTCATACGTTGTTAATGGAAAACACATTTAGTTTATTTGTCAAGTTCAGTAGCTGAGGAGATAAGACATACGTACCCAATGTTTCTTTTAATTTCACTTTACTTTCAAGTTTTCATATTACATTAGGAAGATTTTATTTAGCACGCCATTGAATATATGGCATCCTCGTCTCGGAGAGCCGATGGTCAGCGCGTCACTGTCGACAGGCTCTTAAGTGACTCAAAAGCCCGATTCTTGAGTGGCAGTCTTTGTTGCAGCTGGTACAGATGTAGTTGGTGGCCTCACGAACTTATACTTGTCGTTCCTTTCTCGCCGTCCGCTTAATTGTCGCCTCGGCCCTGGCCTTCGTCTCGGCCATGAATGCCCCCTCCTTCACACCGTGACGCCAGGCGGCGCGGTCTTGCACGAGGACCTCCCAGGTATTGGGATTGAATAACATCTAAAAATCAGCGTTAAATAGCCAAATTTAAACAAACCAAACAAATGAATCAGTGTCTAAAGAAAAGCATGTAGTCGGTTGGTAACTATTTCAAGTAACTACAATAACTGTAGGGAGATCTATTTTACTTCAAAGGCACTCATTACTAGTCACGTGCCGGATCCTAACTGACCCAAATGTTGGGGCTTGGATGATACTTAAGAAAACTACGATCGCGCCGCCAACGAAAATGTCACCAAACAAAAGGTTTAAGGACATTGCTCTGCACGTGTGTTTTAAATCTTGGAACATTTCCAACCCGTCATCTGCAAAACAACAACGTGAAATGACCAAGTTCTACGTATTTTGGAGGACGTGAACCGCAATGGCTAATCTTTCATATTTTCCTTTGGAATTGAACTCTGTCATTTTAAAGGTTGCTCAACCTTCAGCGCCCTTCAATTCAGAGGTGGCCGTCCCTGGAAAGCAAAGTGGTATACCCAAGAGACCTCTCCCCAATTCCCCTTGTAGCACCAGATCGAGGTTAAGGTGAACATTTTTACGCTTCTTTTATTTTCATCTACCCTAACCACAACTTAACATTGTTCGTCAAAATACGTGAAAGGTCCATTATACTACATGGCGAGGCTCAATAATCATCCCTGTCGAGAATGGAACCCACTTTCTTTTTATTGTATTAATATAGAGACCCTCTCATTATGTTTTATATGTTTCTTCCAAGAACAAGTCTTTTTGTTCTTTTCTACTCATTTCAGGTCAGAGTATGTCTTAACTAGTATTTGTCGAGCTCCAACGTTTCTCTGCTTACAGCATATGTCTATTTTATTCTTACAGCATGGCACAATCCGATGAAGGCGGACGTCGTTGCGCACAAACGTAAACTATCTCCGGAATCTGAATTTTGATAGAAAAGGCTTTGAATATATATTGAGTATAAATAGACGAGCTTTGGTCAGCTTCGATCAGTCTTCGCTTGTTCAACTTATGACGTCACTAGCCAGGCGCATGCACTAAACGATTACGCATTCGACATCACTAACGGCGCATTTACAACAAACTAATCATAAACACATTTCAAGCTCGTCAGTCGTACGTCGGTTTTAGTACAATAACGTACAATAACTAGTCTGGG